TCTAATTCTTTTCTTTTTTAAAAAAATAAGCTTTTACTTTGCATTCCAAATACAGGCTGTCCTCGACTTACAACAGTTCACTTAGTGACCATTCAACGTTACAACGGCACTGAAAAAAGAGACTTATGACCATTGTTCACACTTAATGACCATTGAAGTCTCCCCGTGGTCACATGATCAAAATTTGGATGCTTGCAACTGACTCATATTTATGATGGCTGCAGAGTCCCAAGGTCACGAGATCCTTTTTTTGTGACCTTCGGACCAAGCCAAGTCAATGGGGAAGCCAGATTCACTTATCGACCATGTTACTGTGATGACCTGGGAAGCAGCACACACGTAATGAATTCCCAAACGTAAATAAATTTCCTTTCATGCCTCCAACTTGGCCCCACTGTTCAATTGTTTGCAGTTGGAGATTAAACTCTTTCCAAAATAGTCTCCAAAAGAAAGAATTACAGTCCAAACTCAAAGAACAGATATCGGAGAAATAAAAAAACCCAAAACAAACCGCACTGAAGGAATTTCCATGACAGACCAGGATAATTAATTACAAACTTCAAATAGATAACAAGGCACAGTCCGTTGGAAGAACCCCAACCAAGATAAACCTTAGCCAGAAATAAAACACGATTTGCTTCTAGCAACTCTGTGTTTTAAATGATTCTCCTTTATACTATTCCCCCCAGCTGCAGCCAATGAGGGGGATCATGACTGCTTCCTCTCCCATAAGCCATGTTGTTCCCTTCTCTGTTCCTCCCTGTGTGTCCTAGGATGAAGATGGGATGGGCCTGGTTCTTCCTCTGACTGCCCAGCCGGCCTCTGCCCTTCCCCAGCCTCCTCCACAACCTCTACGCTCTGTTGGCTGTTCCTCCTCTCCCTCGGAGTCAGTCTCCAACAGGGGCATGACAGTTACTAATTTAACACCAGCAGTGATTCACTTGTGTGGCAAGAAAGGTCGTAAAATAAGGCAAAATTCACTTATTGAATATACAGTGGTGGGATTCAGCCAATTCCCAACACTTTAGGAACACCGGTTGTTAACTTTCTGAGCCGTTTGGTGAACTGGTTGTTGGATGAAATCATTAGGGCAGAGAACCGGTTGTTCAATTATTTGAATCTCACCACTGCAAATACCTCACTTAACAACAACAGAAATGTTGGGCTCAATTATTGTCGTAAGTCAAAGACCACCTGTACTCTTTTTAGGTCAAGCTTCCCACTGCATATTCATTTTCTCTCAATACGAGAGCTACATCTAATTTTATTTTTATTTTCTAGGCACAGGTCTCATTAAAAAAAAAATGTGTCCCTGTTTAGGAAGAAAACTGTGAATGAGATCATGTGCTTATTTTTAGATAAATAAAGTAACCATCACTCACCACTCCTCTTAAGAGCACAGGACTGCTTTTGTTGAAACAGCAGGGGACAGGTTGAAGGATGGGGAAAAGGCAAGAATTTTGCACACACACACACACAAACACACACACACAGAGAGAGAGAGAGAGAGAGAGAGAGAGAAAAAGACACAATTCCTGTCTAAACAACAGCGATGGTTATCCTCACAATGCTTTTCAAGCAAATAATCTGTGCTTCTTGGATCTGGGTGGTTCTCAACTTACCACCATCTGCTTAGTGACCATTTAAAGTAACGATGGCACTGAAAAAAGTGACTTAGGGCCAATTTTCACACTTATGAGCGTTGCAGCATTCCCATGATCAAGATTCAGACACTTGGCAACCTACAATTTATAGAATTGCAGAATTGTAGAATTGTAGAATCATAGAACTAAGAACTATAGAATCATAGAATCATGAAATCATAAAACAATAGAACCATAAACCATAGAATCCTAGAACCATAGAACCATAGAATCATAGAACCATAGAAAACTAGAATCATAGAACCATGGACTTAAGGAATCGTGGAATTGTAGAACCATAGAACTATAGAATCAGGGAATCATAGAACCATAGAATTAGGGAATCATAGAAC